CCAAAACAATTTTTATCTGTTTTAAAATTAAATAAAGAACATTTATTAATATTTAATTTCTCAATGAATTAAAGTCCCTGAATAAAATTTAATTAAATTGTTTTATACCTGATGTAAAGGCTTGAAAGCTCCAACCTTGAGACTATGGAGCTTTGCCAAAACTTTCTTGTGTCCTGGACTACCTTGTGGGCTTTTGGCCTCTAATTTGATCTTCTCCAACGTTTCTTCGTACAACGAGGGCTCGCACGATCGTAAAATATCGGTCCATTGGCCGTAAAGGAAAAGTAATTTTCTTTTCCTAAAAGAATAATAAGAAACAATAATAAACTGCTAATAATATGCTAGTAAACTATTTTGCTTTATTCTAATTTAAAGTTAAAAATATATATAAACTTATTATATAAATGAAACTTCTCCTTTTATGCTCCATTCTTTACCTTGTTGAGATAATTAATTTAATTAAAACTTACTCTTGATTCGTTATGAATCCCTCGACGCGATGGACGTCTTTGCCGTTCAAGGTACTTTTAACAAAACACAGCTTAGCTTTTAAATTATCCCCGCCATGCTGTCTGACCTCTAAAGGGCCTGACTGCTCCATCCACAATTGGCCTACCAAGACATTGTGAAGGATGCAATTGACGTTTTGCCAAGTGTAGGACTCCTTCCATCTATACAAGCACAACCCGTTAACACATCGAGTATCTTTTAAAAGAGTTCAAAGTTCCTGATAAAGTTCTCTTAACATTCAGGGAAGGTCATTTGAATAAAATAGGAGAGGCAATTATAATTATTAACATTAATTAAAGTAAATATAAATTAGAGTACATAAATTAGTTTATAATTATTATTGTGAACTTACTTGGGCAATTCAACCGTAACAATCCCTTTCGGGTGTACCTCCAATGATTTACCCCAAAATTTTAATTTAGGATGGATGCTGCCATGAAAGATGAAATCCTCGCTGTCAGCGTAGAACGCGGATACTGGTGGATGATGCGAAACCTGCTCGCATATTATCCTGAAGAAGATTCAAAGAAGAAATGACTTTCAAGTATGCGCAAGAGATGGCAAATTGGCAGTACAATATAATATTAAACAAATCAATTTTAATTAGAAATTAAATTAACGAATTATAAATACGAACTGTAAAAAATTAATTACCGGAAATCTTCGCGTTGCAACTCATATGTCTCGCCCAAAATTGGATTGAAAGGTTTTCCAAAGCGCTCCCAGTTCGAAGCGAGGGCACTCACAGCGAAAGCTGCGACGTACTGCGTAATCATTAATTTCGTTTTATTAATAGTGCCAGATTATTGATTTAGTATCCCGATTAGATTTAAAGGCAATTCCTTGCGCACCTGAAGTCTTAAAATTGGCGATTCTTGCTGGGATGCCTGCTTCAGCAATACGGCATATTCCATATATTCCGCGACGCGTTGCAAGAAAGAGAGGGGCTCGTTAAAGATGACTGGCATACTGGTCTTGCTGATGTCTTTGCCCAGTTGGAGCGTCATTGAGCATAAATTTACTTCAGAATGACCCGGAACTGGTAACGATGTTCTTGGAAAGAGCAAAACGCGCTTTAATAAAAAAAATGAATAGAAGAAGATTTTTTTAGGAATTAATCTGATTTTTCTTTCGTATATAATAAATAATCATCTAGGATATTTTACACTTTAATTAAAATCATAATTATATTATTAATAAATTGCACATTATTGATTGTTTTCTGATTTACTGGCACTTAAGAATATTATTATGATTATAGATGATATTATTCACAATTTTCTGAAAAAGAGATAAGTACAGAGAAATAAAGAAGTATTAAATAGAATAAGCACGTTAAGTAACTTTATTATTACAGTAATTTAAAAAAAATGAAGATTTTAAATTAATATAACGCCTTTATTGCAAGTTTTTAATAAAATTGCATATTTAAATGACCTTAAAGAAAATAGTTATTAAAAAAAAAAGATAATAATATGACCAAAAAAAGAGAAAACAATAACATATTTATTTTACAAACATTCACACCTTTTATTAGGATATAAAAATTAGGGTATAAAAATATAACAATTCTCAGATTAAAGATGATGTATATATAATATATATAGTTTCACTTATACAAAATTTAAAAAAACGATAAATGGGGAATTCTTAGATCTCTACATCTTCGAATATTTGCAGCTTTCAATGCGATTGAAAATTCGAGGCATTGAGCAATATTTATAGATCCATAAATTTAAACATGTCGGAATTTATTGCCAACCTGTAACGATCTGATACTCTTTCGTTGGCCATTGTAAGACTCTCTCGTGGTTATTGAGCGTCCCGACGAAGACAGGAGCTTTCAATCTATCGTTCTTGCGAGTCGATACTTCGATTTTCACCAACATTGACCAGTGGTTATGAAGCTTTATAATTTATTACTGGATGTGTAAGAAACTCAAATTATTTAACATTTTTCCACTGAGAAATTTGACAAAAATTTTATAAATCGCATCAAAATCCTTCAAAATTCTTAAACAGATAATTGGTAACTTAATGGAATCGTGTGCGTGTGTGATGCAGGTTTTTAGATCTTCTCAGATATTTACAATTTCCGATATTCATTCAGAAAATTAAAGTTTTATGTAAAACTTATCCGTTAAATGTTAGATATCAATTTTATACGTAGAGTATAATTCAAAATTTTCTAAATTTGACAGTCAAATTACTTGAAAGTTAGAGTGAGCTATAGTTTTTAGATTATTAGAAAGAGTTTGGTGTGTTTAAATTCCTTTAGAAAAATATATTTAATCTAAAGTATTTAATTAAATTCGTCGTAAAATCTGTTTTTAATCGCCAGAGAGGTATTTCAGATAATTCAAATTTGGAGTCATGAATAATGTAAGTAAATCTTTGGATGTTCACAAACTCGGGAACCTTTCGATCTTCCGTGGCGCAAGCGGAACAAAAAGAAGGGAAGCGGGACGCGGTATCTAAATGGACCGTCCGGTTCTCCAGAGAGAAAAAGCTTTGTCTCGCTATCTTGGCGACATTCCGACAGTTATTCCGATTAACTTGGAGGCCGTATAGATAGTGACACTCGCGGATGATTCTTGTGATCGTCCGACACTCGCTGTCACTCGCTCATGGCGATCAGGAATTTCGGGAAAAGAGACCGGAAACTACGACGCGGTTGTTTCAGCTTCGTCTCACGATCAGCTGTATACTTGAAGACTGTTGAGCTCGCGGGCGTGACGGCGAGCTCCCCCTTTGCTTTTGGAGCAAATATCAATAAATCCGAGCATGACCGTTGAGCACTCGAGAATTTCCGTTGGAACGACCAATCTATTCGTTCTTAAGAAACGACTGTCGAGTTAAAGTTTGCAAACTTAAAAGATCTCGACTTCTTCAAAATAATTAATGTCATAATTGTCAATAAAATTTAAGTGCAATTTATTTTTAATTTTTAAGATATAGTCTTCTAATTTTTCTCTAAATAAAACGACAAATTAATCATTTAATTCTTCTCTTGCGTATTTTTATATTTTCGAAATAATATAAATTACACAATAAAAAAAAATAAAAACTCTCTTTAAATGTTTAAAGGTTTAATTAAGAAATTTAATTTATAAAGGAAGTTAATTATTCATAATAAACGTTCTTTTAAAAAGTATCTTATTTTAAACTAGATAAGACATTGTCTTGAATGAAGAGCAAAAAATTACTTTGCAATTTTATTCTAGTATTATCTAACTACTTCAATTTTGATTAATTCAATTAATACGTAATGCCAAGGACTGTATCAATATGATTTAACTATAGCTGTTATACATATACACACAAAAATCAATAAATGCGGAGGCGGAAGGGCAAAGTTTCAACAATGTGAACGAACACATTAAACACCTACGATTGAGAAAGACGGTAGCATCACGCAATCAAGCAGCCTGCGTGGAAAATACGAGATAAATTTAATTAACGCATGCCTCATACGTATGCACTATAGAGACCACAATGCTGCCCTCATCGCATGCAATCCTCCCGATAAAATTGGCGCAAGACACGAAGAGCATTCACTAGAAGGACCATTGAGAATGCAAAGATCTTAACTGATAAAAGATACGCTTTTCATCAGACTATTTCTGAAACTATACATTTTCTCACGTTTATCGATCTTTCTTGTTTAAATTATATATTGATATGTCAAATTAATCTTCAATTATTAAATTCGTTTAAATTCACTTTGTTTTTTTTTTTTTAATTTTACCTCGAAATTGATAGAACAATAAATCATATCTATGTGTATGATACACTTTTTAATGATATAATTTTAAATTCTTAAAATTATAATATCCATTTTTTATTATTGATCGAATTTCTATCTTCTTTTTTTAAACTTTAATCGTAAAAATATGACTTCTCGATCATCAGATTTAGCGATCGATAATGGCATTTATGGGAGATTATTTTCTAGCATTGGTTTGTGAAATTTTACGAGTTGCTCTCGTCTTTACTGTTCTGGAAGAGTTCAGTGCACCGTGAGCGCATCGTCGGCAACTTGGAATAAGAATAAGCCGAATCTATTGATTCACTTGGAAACCAAATCGATATCCGTACGAGGTACAGGCACTCACTTCGTTACGAATCAGCCAATTTTCGTCGAATCGTTCGTTGAGTTCGTCGTCCGTGACGACAAAATCTGCTAAATTCTGCATGCGGCCTCGAAAATCGTTATTTCCGTTGAGATTTCATAAAAGCTTGTGATTCTATAGTTTTCTACGAGTGAAGAAAGTGTAAAGAAAAACATATGGCATTATAAGAAACATTGTGTTTATTAAACCATTAAATAAGTTTAATGACGTATAAAATAATGCAAAAACCAAATTAATTTGGAAAAATTTTTTAAACTAAAATGTGCTTGAAAATATTTTTTATTCACGCAATAGAACTAAAATCGATATTATAAATTATTCTAAAACGTAGCAGAAAGTTAACGTCAAATTTTGAAAATGAATAAAAAAGACTCATTGTTGGAGGATGAGAACTTGAGAATTTCCGGAGGTTCTCAGAAGCTGAAGGATTCTTCAAAAGAGACGGAAGAGAAACCTGTGTTTCGCAAGTATCGCACGAAGCATATGAAGCAATTTCCGGAATTATATCGAAGCGATGTTTCAATTCATCCCAGCTATACCGGCTTAAAAATCTTGCCTTAGTAAGAATTCATTCTCAATCAATTAACTCAATTTATTAATTCAATCAATTTAATTAGACAAAAATAAAAGAAAATAAATTTTTTCATATCAAAGATTATTGTATCTGTTATAAGGCATTAATTCTTAACTCTTCATTACTCGTATGAAATGTCCAGGACATCTCCGCTTTTTAAATTTGCTAAACGTGTATTAATATTACTTATTATATTTAACGTAAAATGTTTCACAATTAAAAAAAAAATGTTTGCATTTTATATATTTTCATTTAAAGGGTATAGAATATTATCAATATTTATTTACTTGTAAATCAACAAAGAGAGAGAACAATGAAAATTGAGATAAAATGTTAAAGTATCAGAAACACTTCACGCAAGTTAAAAAAAACCACGCGAGCAATGCAGAGATTAAATGAGACGTTCTGAAAAAGTTCACACCGAGACTTTAAAGGTCACTAGCTTTTTATAAAACTTGTATAATTTTAAATTGTTTATGATATACTATAGTTCACAATTAATTACATAATTAATTGTATTTTTAAGTCACGTGGTATGCAGGCAACGCGTACAAAGGATTAAACGACAGTCATTTCGGCAGTTGAATCGTGAGATCGCGCATTTCGCTATGGTTCAGATGTTTGCTCTCGATGGTGTGAGGATCGATCGCGTCTTCAGCATTGGCATGTCGCCGAAGATGTTAATCGTGCCAGACCCTTTAACAGAGAAGGAGAGACGCCGACTAAACGAGCTTATTGAAGATCCTTAAGAAATCCTTCGGACAATTTTAGTGAGAGAATAGATTATTTCATATGTCTCATTTAATTATTCAATTATTTCTGCTATTTATTTTATAATTAATACCAATCTGTTTAGTTATATGTTTAATTATTTCTTACAATTATACATTAATAAATTTTTAATTATTCGGTTTAATTATTATATATATGAATATAATTTGAATTTCTTGAATTTTAACGTACCAAAAATGATATATATTACAATTATAATAAAACGTATTCAGATTAAAAATTATTTTAAAAAATGAAAGGTCCGTTCCTCTGTCTTGATCGATATCAATCGATTGGTTATGATCTCTATTGAAAATATTTATTTCGTATCTCCTCAATACTGCTGTGGGCAATTTTGTCGGAATTTTTATGAGCAATATTCAGATTCCTTTATAGGAACTCTAAACTTTTCTAGCGCAGCAATGTACTTAAAATGAGACAAATCTCAAATTTAACTTTCTGGACAAAAAAAATTTTGAAATTATAGTTAGATCGAGAACGATTAATCGTTCGTGCAATAAATTTTATTTACACTATTAATAGATGCATTCAGTACTACATTCGCATACTGAACATTCAGTAAGCACTTGCATCTGATTGGCATATTCCGTTAGATCTAAAAATATAGACCAAACAGATACGAAAGCTCACCGAATAATTAACAGTTTGTTAACGGTTGTAGTCTCTGAATGTATGTAAGGATCACCAATTCACACTGATTGTCAAACAGTGACGACGGCATTAACTATAAAGACTAAAGGTAATATAACAAAAATATAAAAATATAAAAAAAATATAACCTGTGCGCACTGGACCTCCTTTTATTACAGTATATGAAGAAATCAACATTCTTGTTTAGAATTGTAGTTTTATTTGCAGTATTTTCACTCGTTTAGAAAGTTGTTATTCGAAAAAATTTAAAGAGAGTAAAGATACAATTTAGTTAATTAAGATAGCTGATTAAATTTCGCGCGGATTGTGATTTATCAAAAACTGTTGCAATTAGGCTGCGTTCCGTTCAACGCTCACAACGCTCGTGTTATCACTTTATCCTTGTTGTTTATCAAATGTTAAACAAGGGAAAATGATACTCGCGTGAGCATCGCGAGCGTTACATGGAACGCAATCAGGTCGAAGCTCGTAATGACGTAGTCAGTACAATAATACTGAATGCACCCATTGTATATTATATATGTCAAATGTGTGAAACGTACATACTTCCGGACACTTTTAAAACGCTTTTAGAAAGGGAAGTACAGATACGATCATTCTTGTTGGTACCGTCGATCAATTAAATAAAAAGTTTGGCATGGCCGCTGTCAGGTGTTTTCAAGTTTCTCTCTGTCTAAAACATAAATCCATCACACCTTCGACGATCCTACTGTTCACAGGTGATTGTTTATTATTAAAGTTTTTATTAAATTCGTTATGAACTTTTCAGATAACTTTTATTTATCTACATACTATTTAGATAATTATTCAGGCTAACGATTATAGCCATTAAAATCATTCATTATAAATCTGACAAATAATAGAAAATAAAGTCAGATAAATAATATATTATTTTGTTTTTAAATACAACGCTATATGTTAATTGCGTTTTTTATACATATACGCTTTTTTATACCTTTATTTTTGTCCACTTGTCATAATTGGATATATTTGGTTGCATTCAGCTCGCTGATTGGTATATTTTTTTAGATCATCCAATCTGATTTTAAATCTAAAAAGATACATAAATAACAGCGAGTGCTCACTCAACTGTTGAGTCTGTTGAACGCAGCCATTATATTATCCATATATGTACAGCATTTTGAGATAGTATCACCGACGAGATACTGTTAAAGACCGTCTATCCTGGGAAAATTTTCATCCATACAAAAAAAGCGCCCCGACGGCCCAGAAATAATTGAAGAATCCTGATATTATCGACGAATGACATAAATTTGCGATTATTACATAAATATTTGGATGATATATTACACATTATAAATTGATGATTTTTTTATTATATGTTCTATAAATAAATATACATACTCTTAATGCTATATCTTATATATTGCTGCAAAATTACAATGTTTTTTCCTATGGTTATCATCTCTATTGATAATCGCTAAACAATTTTTCAACATAGTCCCCTTGTAAGTCAATACACTTAGACCAACAATATTCCAACTTCTTTAGACCTTCAGTATAATACAAGTTGTCTAACCCTTCAAAATAAGCGTTTGTCTCAGCGATGATTTTCGTATTTGAGGTGAATCTTTTCCCTGCGAGCCATTTCTTCAGATTCGGGAACAGGAAAAAATCACTAGGGGCTAAATCTGGTGAGTACGGTGCGTGTGGCAGCAATTCGAAGCACAACTCATGAAGTTTTGCGCCTGCAATTGCAGAAGTGTGAACAGGTGTATTATCATGATAAAAAAGCACCTTTTTCTTTGCCAAATGCGGACGTTTAGCCTTAATAGCATCGTTCAATTGCTCCAGCAATCCTGCATAATACTTTCCGTTGATAGTTTCGCCTTTTTCTAAACAGTCTATGAGCACCCATATGAATCCTAAAAAACAGTCGCCATCACCTTTCCGGCTGATGAGACAGTTTTCGTCTTCTTTGGAGCACTTCCACCCGCTTTCACCCCCCATTGTTTGGACTGTTTCATCTCTGGTGGGTAGTGGTGAATCCATATTTCATCCACAGTGATGAATCGTCGCAGAAAGTTGGTTGGATTGAGTTTAAATACGTTCAAACACTCTTGACAAACGTTCATTCGAATGCGTTTTTGATCGACCGTTAGCGAACGCGGCACCCATCGCGCTGAAAGCTTTTTCATGTGCAAATGTTCGTGTAAGATGTTATGAACTCTACCTATTGAGATGTTTGCAATGTCAGCAAGCTCACGCACTTTCACTTGTCGATCATTTAACACGGCATTATGGATTTTTTCGATCGTAGCGGTTTTTGGGGGTCCCGAACGTTCATTATCATTTATGGATGAACGACCACGTTTGAATTCAGCAGTCCATTTTTTCACTGTTGAATACGATGGTGAAGAGTCTCTCAAAGTGGAATCCAGCTCTTTTTTTATTCCCGTTGCCGTTAAACCTTTCAAAACAAAGTATTTTATCACTGCGCGATATTCGATTTCATCCATTTTTCGAGAAATCAAAACTTATTTATTCGACGCAACAGACTATTAACTACTACTAACCACATTTGTCTGAAACTTTTTTAGAGGCCTTCTGAAAGATCAAACTTAAGAAAAATCATAGCCATTTGATACTCTCGGTGCCATCTCTGTGTCAGGCCGAGAACTTTTCGAACCACCCTCGTACATATACATATGTCTTTCAAACTAATATATAAAATTAGTATTATATTATCAATTTTTATTTTCTTAATTACTTAAATTTAAATGCGAATTTCCGTAAAGATATCGGTCTTTAATACTATCTCGTTGGTGATAATACTTAAAATGATCTTAAATATAAGATCAGACTTTGAATACCGCGCGCGTCTTATATTTAGTGCTTTTTTCCATTCAATGTTATGTCATTATGTTAAAGATTAATATTAAAAGAAAATTGTAAGATAAACATTTGATTTTGACGATTTCAGAATAAAGAAAACTGACATACTTCAAATATTATGCACAAAGATAAATATCTTATTTACATGAAAACATACATATCTCTCACATATCTGCACACAAGCTAGATTTAAATTGCAAAAAAAAAAAAAGATATATATCAATTACACATGAGCCAATTGTGCACAAACCAGTCACAGCGCTAGAAAAAATATAAGAAACTGCCTACGCAGAAGTCGCTGTGATTGGCAGTGAGCAATTGCAACAATATGCAAATAAACCATTCTCCTCCAAAAAAAAAGTACGTGATGTGCAGATGTGCACAACACATATGTGGGCGCTCGTAAATGTAAATGTGCGTACGGGGAGAGAGAAAAAAAATATATATATTATATATATATATATGTCTACCATATACGTCTATATACATCTATGTACAAATTTATGCACACAGCCATTCATTAATTTTAGCGACTTATACCGTCTGATCGATAATATGGTGATTCTGCTATTATTTACATAATTTTACTCGTTACTTATTATTATAATTATTTCTATTACAATTTTAATTTAATAATATCCGTTTATATTTTCGTAATTATATATATATGTATATATATATGTATATATATGTATATTATATGTATATTATATGTTATATAATTACGAAAATATAAACGGACATTATCACCATATTACCGACTATGATCGGTAATTACATGCTGTAAGATTTTATGCAGAATATATTTAAATCGATTCGTCGCGAGAACTTTATTGAGAGAATTGCAGAAAAAAAAATCAATATCATCAAGAGGTGCAATCCATTTAACACTAAATATTTTGAAGCATTTGATCAATTAGAAAAAATTTCTAATTGATCAATCAAAGGATGATTCAAAGCATTTTTAGCACTTTGTTCTTTTTCTCTGATTATATGACCATATCTTCAAGTATTGAAATTAATCTTGCTCAACAACGAGCATTTGTAGCATTAAGTAAACCGTAGCCAAGAACTAATTATTAAAGAAAATTCTAAATCTGACACAAAATAAACATTTTCTTCAAATGGATTGTTCCAAAAAAAATTAGAAACACGCGAAATTGCATTAGTCCTATTTTTAAAACTTTTATAATAATATTCTATATAAAAGATGCAGTTTATTAATCTGTAACTGGTATTCATAGTCCGTTCTTATATTTGACTGTCTTAAATCAACAATCATAAACCAATTACGCGGAGCCGTATTATCATTTTAAAACATTATTTAAAACTATTTATTTATACATATTAACTAGATACTGTATCAAGGTAGGAGATGATAAGAGACACATTTAACAAACGCAGGCAATAGAAACAGATATTGATAGATTTTAATTTCAGAAACCGTGTGTAGAATACATCTAATTCCTAATAGTTTTGAAATTTGTTTTACTCTTTGTTCCTATTTCCTGTGCTTTTTAATTCTGTCTTAGGCTTTAGAGTCTCAGCATGAAAGAAACACGGAATAAAGAATAGAGAACAGGGATTCGATTATGTATCATGAAACGGAGATGAAAATTATAAAAATAGCGAGCAAATTTACTAAAATATTTATAAATTCATTGATCAACAACTAGTGAATTTTTTGTAATTTTTATCTCATTTCAAGATCGATTCCATGTTCTATATTCTTTGTTTCCTGTTCCCTATTCCTTGGATTATGCGGAGCCTCTAAACACCTAATCGCGAAGAAGTAGAGAGATACTCAAGAGATTGTTTAGATAACTTTTAGTCCGCCATATTCAAGACAGTGCTTAAGGTAGAATAAAATATAGAATAAGATGAGATAGATACAGAAGATAGAATGAATATCTCAGTATTTTGGCCATGTTCCGACATACAATACTAGTACTAATAAAAAAATAAACATTTATAGTGTACGTCACAAAACGATTGTAATAAGACAAGTGTAGCATTCCTGTGGATGTGCAATAGAAAAGTACATTTCAATATATATTTGAGTCCAAATTTGATTGGCTATTATCACAGTATGTTACCATGCATATTAAATGCAATGTTACACCTATATCTTTCTTACATCATAATATATATAATGCAAACTATAGATTTTCAAGTAGATATTTATGGTCAAGTATTTTCTTAAGACCATCTTATGTAATGTCTTAAGTTTTAAGATATTTAGGATACGACTTTGTGATTGGCTTATGACATCTTATATATTTAAGACTGTATTCGAGACAATCTTAAATATATAAGAATTGAATATGAATACGATCGGCCTCAGTACTCTAACAGTGTATATTGGAACACAGTCTCTACCTTATGCAAAATCTATCTCATTTTATCTTAGATACCATGCTGAATATGACTAACGGTGGCCAATCTCTTACTTAAAGATGTCTAGGAAAGACTGTATCTAGTCATATATATTTATGCTTAAGACAATCTTGAAATAAGAATATGGACTATGAAAATACTAGCCTAGACTTACAAAGATAACTATTACGCACTCTCGTTGAAAACGCAAAGACAACGATAATAAAAAATGATATTAGTTTAAATCAGATTTTTTTTCTTTGTCCGATTGTGCGATTGATGGAGAAAAAAGTCGTTTTTCTTGCTCTCAAAAGGAGATGCATCCTTTCTTGTTTCGGCTATATCGTTTCTGTCTAACGTACGAAGAGCAATTTGGCTATACATATTTTCATCCTTCAATGTTGTCATTAGTGTCATATGTAATCTATGTCATTGTATAATCTATCCACATAAGTCTGTACTATATTAACGTTTATCTTGTTCTTCAGTATAACAGTGAAGAAAATATTGAACTCGGGTTACGTCAAATCAATGAGAATAAAAGAATGTTTATGACTTAATATCTCACGAACAAGACGGACGTTTTCCCCTCTCTCTATTATCTTTATATATACATTTTATAACAAATACCAAAATAAAGATATCGACACATTTCATAAAAAAATGATTGAAACTGGTATAAAAGACATACGTTGTTCTAAGTACGCTACTATATAAAAAATCTTTGTGATTTGAACGAGATTTTCAGTTCTTTTCTTCGATTAAAAGTAAAACTGGAATTTTTCATGTATTGGTTTGCAAAACCATGGAACTATATATGTTGTGATTCCAACTAAATAGAAATTTTATTATTGTACGCGAATACCTGCGTACAGCCGCACTTTTTTTCATCTTTGCTTAGCTGGTAGTAATTTTGAGATAATTCAATTCGGTGAATGCAATAACCATGATGGTGATACTTCCTGCTTCTTCTTTTCTGGCCTTCTTTTCTGACGGTATTTTGTTCGATTAGGGCTCCAATTAACGCTGGTTTGTCCTGTCGTGGTTGATGTCAATAGCGCGTTATTAATTCGATCCATTTGGATCGATTGTTGCCCCTCGTAATTACTCACAAAAGTATAGTGTGGATGATAGTACTGTTTTAAACTCGACTCGTCTCGAAAACTCTGCATCGCGGACCACACGTGGCACAATAAACATGGAAATCTTGACAACCAATATTCTGTAAATTTGTTAGGAATCTCACCGAGACTTTCTTGAGCTTTCAAGCTCAGTTCTCTGTAGTGATGTTTCTGAAAAAAAAGTCGATATGCAAGATAAGAGAGACAATTAAGATGTATCACGTTAAATCACTATTAATTAAATAGAACACATTAATTACATTCTTCTGCTTTCTGATTTTCATTCTTCTTCTTTATTTAAATTATTTCGCACGTATTTTAAAAATCTTGATATACTCTTATTGAATATATTTCTAATAATGTAATTGTAAATATATTGTTACAAGATTCTTTCTAACTATTCAATGTTTGTTTTTCTTCTAATAATAATTCTTGTAAATTTCGTAAATTATATGAATTATATTATTTTCGTAAATAATAACTATTATAATAGTTTTTATAACATCTTAATTGTCATTCTGCATATATTATAATATATCAGAATTTCAGTGAATTTAAACTAAAATATTGAAGAGAGGAAGTGAAAAAGCAAAAAGCAATAATTTATCATTTCCTCCTTTAACATTAATATCTGGAGACAGGTAGTGCCTCGGTGCTAAGCCAGGCGCAGCGACACTGCCTCCTTTACGCGAATCTGAGAATAATTGAATACGTGATAACACGGAACGTTTATACCTTGCTGTATCTATACTTGCTTAATTCTCACTAACCTTGTTCCGCAGAGCCCTGAGTAAGTCTCTTACGCTCTCGCCTCGATAACTCCTATATTTGCGCAAATCTGTTGCAACTTCGAAATCTATATACATTCTCCAATCATTTCCCGTTACGCGCTCACCATAAGTTTCCAACGCTATCAAAGCCGGGCTGTCGGATTGATCTTTTTCTACTCGATCGCTAATATCCTGTCGCACAAATTATAATAGTGACAAAATGAAGGAAAGATTCATATGATTTCTCACTTTTGTTATAATCTATTATAAACTAGTTATAGAAAAAATCTTTATTTTTTTTTATAAGATATACAACTTGAAAATGAATTTTAAACTATATATATTTTCTTTCCTCTCTTTCTCTCGAAAACATGTAAGTAAGAAATACATTTTGAAAATACTAAATTTTATTTTTTACCTGAAAAAAACCCAGAATCTCTGCTAAATTCCAGAAAATTGGATAATTACAAATTGCTGAAGCTGGGGGTCTGTCAGCAGGATTACTACATATCATTGCCTTGATAAGCAACAATGCTAATTCTCTGTCACTCGGAGACATTTCCTGGAGCGCTGTTAGATTGCTCTCGTCACCTGTTATACAAAACAGATAGACTAGACCAATATACTTGTAACAAGCAAATATTATAATATAATTGATATTTCATGTAGTTTCACAACGATAATTGTACAAATAACTAAACGTATATTCAATGATCTGTAGCATTATTATCATACTCTACATATTTCTTAATACATTCTCTTGGATTGATCTATAGAATACATCAAACGGTTACTACGTAAGAAATAATATAAGAAATTACATAAATGAGCCAAAGAAAAGTATGTATACTTGGAAATTTTACTTCAACTGTTGCTTACAGAGAATATTAGCTTGTCTTCGTAATGGATCACCGAAAGGATGCTTGCCATCGGAAAGAACATAATAAAAAACGCAACCAAGCGAGAAAATGTCGACCGCACATGTCGTCCTTTCTCCATTTAGCATCTCTGGCGCAATCCAGCCATCAGTTCCAGTGATACCAGATCTCCGTGAAAATGATACGCGACCGAGCTGGAGCTTTTTACACAATCCAAAATCTGATATCATGGCGCGTACCTCTCCGCGAGGTCCAGGAACAGAGAGCAAGACATTATGAGGTTTAATGTCTCTATGAACTACATATACAAAAATTTTTTAAACAAATTAACTCTTTCTAAAGAAAATAATAAATAAGATCAAAGACGAATTTGTTATTAATAGAGACTTTTAAGTTATCGGCTGGTATTTATAGTTCTTATATCTTAAGACTGTTTTAAATAATGTTTTAAAATATTAATACGGCTCTATGGTCGATATGCATAGTCGAATCCTATATTCAAGATCATCTTATGTACAATTTTAAGATGTCACAAGCCAATTCCGGGCCGAAATACAGCCTGCAGGAATGGACGTAGACTGGACGTAGACTGGTAGACTTCATAATATATAAGAATTTATATACAAGACTGTTTTAAGCATAATTTTAAAATGTTATAAGTTAATTAGACGACTGCATTAGCATCTTAAGATTTAAGTTAGTCTTGAAATAAGAACAGATTATGGGTGGTATTTATAGTCCATTATTTTAAAACTAATTTAAAATAAAAATCTTAAGATACTAATGCGCACGCGATCTTCTTTTTGTTTGTAACATCTTAAGGCTGTATACTTAAAACAATTTTAAATATAAAAATTGACTATAAATACCGACTCTAGAACAGAGTGTTAGTATCTTAAGACATTATTTGAGACGATCTTAAAACAAGAACTGACTATAAATACTAGCCTTCGCATTATTTTTTGTAAATAAATTTGTCAATTTGAAATCAGTTTTAAAAAAACGCATTCAGAAATCCATCGTTTTAAATTGAATAAACTGAATTATAAAGTTTATATCATTAATAAAATTAATTAGACTTACCAATATCTAAGAAATGAAGATGTGCTAACCCAGATGTGGCTTGATGCAAAATATTTTTTACAGATATCTTTCCCCTATCGTATCTGCCTGCCACGTAATCCTGTAAAGTTGCTTCTGCTAGCTCCAAGGCAATGTATCTGAACATACGATCTTGTTCAGTACAAAAGTATCTGACTACATTTACGTGAGCGTCCGATTCTCTTAAGAGCGCTACTTCTCGATCAGCAAACGTAAAGCAATCTGGTAATAATCGCTTCACAGCTACAGCACGACCATCAAATTCACCTCTAAACAAGGAAATAAGAAAATATAAAAGTATTTTTTTAGATAGATGAAACTAAAATTTAAAATTGATATTTATAGATAAATATATTTATTGATATATATAGATATACAGCAATCTATATGTAAACACTATGCATTAGAAATATTATATACTTGTATACAAATGTTCCTTCGCATCCTTTGCCAAGGACTTGTTCCGTGTCAAATGTAATTTTTCCCACTTTAACTAAGCCATCACCGATCTCTTCCAGCGTAACGACCGAATTGCCTGATTTACCAGAATATGTACGACTGCTTTCACGTGAACCCTTAATAATTAATTTAATTCAATTTTAATAATATACAGATATTGCACTTCAATGTTATTCTTCAATCTTATAATAGAGTATTTTACCTGTGACAATTGCTGAAATTGCTCCTTACATTGCTTATATATAAACCAAACTACAATACAAGCTATTGTGCTAATTATCAACATAATTACACTCATGATTAGTTTCATTTCTATGTTTTCTTGTTGGTTGAACCAAAATTTGGTCGCGCTGTACGTTTTTGATATAATTATCTGCCAATTCTGCTTATTTTCCGATTGTACAGTATCGTTAGACGTATCCGATTGCATAGCAACGGATAACTTGGTCCCAGTAACATTCGACGTCGAAGTCTCCAAGATTATTGGATCAGATCGTCCAGTTATTTGGAGGAGCTGATTTTGTGGTTTGTATTCCGCGGGTACTTTGTAATGACCTAAGTAAATACACATTATAAAAGATGTAAAATGTGCAACAATATATGTATGATATGCATACAATATAATGCACATATTACCTAACGTAATGACATTTTCAGTACGTTTAACACTTTGATAACCATCATCGGCTATATCAATATTAGAAATTAAAACATGATCCCCTGGTAATGGTACTTTATTATCCATATGAAGATGCGATGTCACCAATGGCCCTTCCAGCAATAAGTGTCCTACATTATTCGATATAGTTGTCGTGTCCAAGTCAACAAGCGATGGTAACGCATAGAGACCATATTGATGCTGTCCAACGTACAAAGTTGGACTAAAAAAGAAAAGATATTTTAATTATTAACTATTATACGTGACATTTGCAAATATATTCTATGTTGAACTATCTCTCAAAAAATCATTTTCTTTTTAAACATTGATTAACTTACAACAATTGAACGTCAGTTGGCTTTGTCGCGAACTTTTCCAACAATGAATCGGCAATACTTGTGAAAGGAATTGTCAATAATCCATCTTTGGTTACAGTATACATGGCTATCACCGGACTTTTCAAATCCAATTTCCAAAGAATCTTACCTAAACTATCCAAGGTCACTACGCGACCTGTAGAACTTGTGGTGAAATGTACTAAATCTGAAATCAAATCAAATTTTTTCAGTATACACATGCGCGCGTATGTATTTTCATGTATGTATATGTATACATACATGCATGTACAAAATGTACCATAAACTTGTATACAATACATATATCATATACACACACTCACACAATCAATATACATATAAAACAGTATAATACATATTAAATATTTTATAGCTAACAATCTAGCAGTTTCCAAAATATGTCGTCACGTCTTATAAAAATAGATAATGTACCGTAATTCTCTATCACATCAGGTCCCATTTGCATAGCAGAATAATCATAGAATGTTACATTCCATTTTCTGTCTTTGTGCTTGCTATCGACCATGATAATATTATATTCCGTGCGACCGACAAAAATAGTATTCTGCATTTCCAAAGGACATGTATCTTTCACTTTATGAAAACTTAAAAGCTGTTCTCTTTCACCAGTCATTGGATCAATACTAAACCACGTGTCAATTTTTCTACCGGTATACAATATGCCATCACTACTTCTGCATGGACTACTGGCAACTAGTTGAGGAATGGTAAATGGCAGCTTTTTCAATGCTTCAGATTCTCTGCCAAAGAGATAAAGTGAACCATCTCTGGGATCCGGTAGAAATATAGGCCTAAAAATCACAAACATTTTAATAAAAATACAAAATGTTTCACTTTATTTTATTATTTAACAAATACCATGAAACATTATCAATAATCAAAATTTTATATATTTCTAATATATATCAATAATTATTTATTATATAGATATATTAATGTACAATGTAATAATATAATACATACATTTTAGTTCCTGACAAATTACTGGGCACTTTGACTACGGGTTCTAAAACATTAATACATATATATGATACACAAAACAATAAGATAATTCAATTTCTTCGTATAATCTAGCATGTAACTAATTGTTACCATCATCTTGTTGCCATCGTATTTTTCCAGATCTTTGATCAACACCCACGAGTAACCCTCCAAGCGTAGAAAATACAAGGAGAGCATCATCTTGTTCTGCTACCAGTTCGGTATTAAAATTCTAATAATATAAATATTATTTGAGTTAATTTAATTTTAATAGTAAGAATGAGTGTAACTTAGTGCTCTCATGATTTAAAAAATATAATGTATGTACATAACATGTTTTTAGATATAAAGTAAAATTTTAACTTTAAAAAGATCATTATATTTGTCTTTTTCCTTTTTTTTGTTTCCCTTATTTGTCTACTATAAAGAAAGAATCCTTCACTAGAGAAACACTTTAAACAAAAAAAAATGATATTACGACATTACATACATCTACCACTTGCTGTCCTGTGACAAATGCAAGCACCGTCAAAATAACAAGCCATAACATCCACCTTTGCATCGTAAAGAATCTTCATATAGCATTGACCATACGATATAGTATACAAAGACAGATGAATTCCTCCCGACATAAGTTTTGCTCCATGCAACATTACATATAATTACAACGTATCAATTTACGTAGTTTTGGAGCAAGATGGTTCGTAATTCTTGTAGATTATTGTCGTTAACATGACTGTCAAAATCTCTCCCAAGGTACAACAAAGATCACATTCTTAACTGTTGTCCACGAATCTGTACATTTACATTCTCTTTATTTTTAGTGCAAAACTGTACAAAACAAAGTACGAGGTTTTACTCCGTGGACAATATTGTCTTGATTATCAAGACCGTGTGTTGTTTGTGTTGTTGTAGCGTGATGATTATACGTATGTGGCCGAAACAATAATATAATCATTGTAGCAAATATATTTTATTCATTGCGCATCACGAGTCTCTTCAATCTCCAAGAGATTTAATCGACAAAATCAGTTTTACAGAGGCGTATGTGTAATGACACGCACATTTCATAAAATTTATCATATGGACACGTGTCTCATACATATGTTTGTGGTTTGCATCAGCAAAGAGAAACCGGAGAAACCTGAGAGAAGTGAGAGATCCTATGCTAGTCTTCTTCCCATTACCATCGACTATCGAAATCACTCGTACACTACCGCCACAATACATCATTTTCGGCTTGGAAATTACGTGGCTACATCCATTTTCTCATCCTGTCGATAAAATCGTAGTACAGAAAACATCGAAAAATGTTTGTTATGTTGGTGTCGTTATGATTATAATGATTATGTATCGATAATTGATATTAGAATATGTAACAGCTGTTACATAGCTGTTATGTTAGTTCACTAGTGAACTTTGATATTGGGTGCCTTCTCACAGTGTATCAGTATGTCCTTGTTGTGTTTACCAATTCACACAGACGATTACGTGTCATTGACACATCACTACATCAATATATTACTCACGTACGCCACACATATACGTAGATTTTTGTATCGTAATTATGTTTTAATTAGACATCTAAATCTAATTTTAAGAACTCCACGCTGTTTCTTCATGCAAACTACGTGCCTGTGGACTACTATTTCTTAAGTACAGATTGCGCAGCTTTTATATAAAACAAATGTTGTTACGACGTGCAACGACGTGATGACAGCTCTGGAGCGCCATATTGGACTAAAAAATGGTAAAGAAGAACTCATTTTTGAAATTTTTTTATCGTTTTCAGCATAGATTCTACCTCACAGGCACGTATTAATGCGTATACTTTAATTCTGTAAAAGGATTTTCGAATATATGAATGACAAAAAAAGTATTTACAATACAAAAATTATACGATTTAGTCGGTAATACAGGAAGCTTAAGATTCCCTTAACATTTGATGGGCAACAAGAAATATCAGGCATGAAACGGAACGCACTCTAGGAGCCAATCACATGACCTAAAAAGTCGGTCTATTAAAGAACAGACCTATTATCTATAGTTATTCATTGTCTTGCATTGTCGAATTGACCTTTAATATTATTTGCGCATTAAGTAATATAAATGTTTCGATTGTTATTGGTTTGTGCTACATTAACAAATTCTATAATATTATTTGCGCATTAAGTAATATAAATGTTTCGATTGTTATTGGTTTGTGCTACATTAACAGATTCTATTTTATTAAAAATTTTAATAAATATCTTATTTGCTCACATTATATCATGTAACTTATTTAATATTTCTTTGTACGGAAAACGAAGTTTGAAAAATTTAAATTGGAACTGTGTAGCAAAAGTAATCAAAGTTATTAAAAATTTTTTTGTATATAGTGCTTTTAATGCCTTTAATCTCATAGAGGGATTATTTCCTTTAAAAGTAATATTGTATTTTTCAAGGTTAGAATATCTGTTATACTTTTAACTACGGTTGTTTCACAGTGCCGAGCGAAATAACTTTAGCTTTATCGAGCTTCATTTTCTTGTTCTGCAAAAGGGAAAAGTGAATGATTTTTGCGTTTTCATCCAAATCTAAAACGAACAAGTTGAATTGAATATTTATCTATATAATAGAGTTTATTAGTCCCATTATTTTTCTATCTTGCTAACCTTAAATTTTTTTACTTTTTGTATTTTTTGTAAATGGAACATTAAAACGAATAAATATCTCCTAATACTTTAACGACACATATTATATTACCATTTCAGTTACACATGAAAGGTGAAACGTCTTTTTTGGGAAAGCTTGAATTGGTCTGTTAGATAGCACAGTATAGAGCTATCAATCGATAGTAGAATGAGTACACAAGTATCAATAATGAGCCACTCGCAAGACATAATTAATACGCCAGAAATAATAGAGCTGGTGAGACTTCTTCGTCAAAACGGTGACAAAATTTTGAGTGCTTCTAGCAAACTCTCCTTGTCAACAAAACTGCTGTATAATCTCAATCAAGCATTTTCACTAATTATATCAGAATCTGAAGATTTAAATTCTTCATTTCACGTGTGTAACAGCTCTAAGATAGATATATTTCGTGATGTAAAGTTTCTACATGATTTTGTACAAAAGACTGTAGGTCTGAAAGTGATACATTGTTCATCTGACATCAAAGTTACTATTGATATTTCTAAGTTTAGACATTTGAAGTATTTGGAATTGAAAGAGGTATCTGTCGAATTATTGAAGGGTCTACAGAGTATCAGAGGTCAATTGGAAAGTATTGTGTGTACTGGCAGAAAAGGAATATCTACAATTTATCAATTATTAGGTAATATTTATATATTATCACAAAATAATAATACATTGATGTAATTCATTAATATCTATCTAGCTTATAGTTACCCTATCTATATATCTTCTTATTGTATTTGTACAAATAATAAGTGTCTTTAAAAGCTAACATTATAGATTTTGATAATTCAATTATATATATATGTATATATATATATAGTTCAAATATATATAGAGGATGTCAAAAAATGAATATTAATATAGCTTTGAACAAATAAATATGCAAAAATTCTACAAAATTTTATGAAATTATTAATGTAATATACAAATTATAAGGCCTGTTCTTTTTAGCTGAACTTTTGCACCAGTTTATCTTTTCTCTCCAGGAGAAGAAAAAAGGAAAAAAGATGAACTAGTGTAAAAGTTCAGTAAAAAAAAAAAACTATCTATAATGTTCTATACCTAAATACAATAATTATTAATATATATATATATATTAATAATTATACTATAACATATATATATATATATATATATATGTTAAAATTAGTTATTGTCTTATATTTCTATATTTACAGCTGAATGTGGAGGTGATGCTGGAGTTGGTTTTGTATGGGCATCCTTGAGACACTTGGTGTTGCCTCATAACGCTCTCAAATACTTAGATAAATCATTAGAATTGGCACCTTGGCTTCAGATATTGGATTTGAGTCATAATATGATAACTAATGCCAAAGAATTATCCTGTTTATCAAACTTGAGATATGTAAATCTAGGTTACAATAAATTAGAAGAAATACCTATATTCAATAAGACAGTATTACATTCGTTACAAGTGTTGGTGTTGAAAAACAATTATATTGAAAATTTAAACGGTTGGTTATTACTCTACAATAGTAGCTCTTTTCATTTAATTTCTAAATAGTTTAAAGTTATTCGCTACACATTTAAATACAATTTTCAAATTTATTAGTAAATGCATGTGATTACATGATTAATAGTTTAAGCAATCATTGTCATCTATTGTTCATTCTATCATGAGAGATTAATTTGCACAATAGGTCTCGAAGGCTTAGAATGTTTGACAGAATTAGATTTGTCATTTAACTGTTTAATGGAGCATTTGGTTCTCTCATCGCTGCAAAAGATGTCTACTTTGTTGTGGTTAACCTTAGAAGGAAATCCTTTATCATATCATCCGAAACATCGGATTCTGACAATTAAATATTTACATCCGAGTTTGTCAGATAGCAAGGTATCCACACTTAATATTGAAAATATACTGAAAATAGTCTAGTGTGAAATAGCGATAATACATTAATATGACATAGATCTGAATAAATTCTTATAGTTTGTTTTAGATCATCTGTCACTCTCGAATGCGGAAAAAATGTTAATCGCAGAAAATCAAATCTTTGCAATACCTACGAATCAATCTACATCTCTAACAAGCTCGATATCTATATATGCTGATACATATGAATTCGACCAAGACAGATTAAATCGAGCAATATCATTACCTGAGAATCTAGAAAAAAACCTAATAAAGAGTAAAAGAAGACCAAATGTTAAAGAAGCAGTCATTGATGAAATTGATCAGGAAAGAGGAGAATTTAAGAAATTGCCCGATGTGGTGGCATCTTCTCATTTAGGTAAAGTTTTTTTTAATAAATAGCATATGTATGTACAATGTGGAGCATAATTCACTGGGTCATAGTAGTGGCTTGACTTATTGACGCTGAGTCGGTAACGCTCAAAGCGCGCGTGTGCTTTAAATAAGAAGAATCACTGATAAATTGTGGAAATTTATTGCATTTTTTTCCTGTTGCACACATAAAATTATATATTCCTGCAGAAATGCATGAATTAAATTCAAGTATTTATTCAGTTCATTCATTCAGTTTGTCAGTGACTTTATTTCAAGCGCGCGCGCTCTTTGAGCGTTACCGACTCAGCGTTGATATGTCAAACCACTACTTATGACCTAGCGAATTAATGCTCCGCACTGTGCGCGCGCGCGCATATAATATAAAGTGAAGAAATATGTAATGTTTAATAAATATGGAATAATACTATAAAATACACTGGTAGTAATAAAGTGATGTATCTTTCTTGCAATATTCTATGTTAATTTGTTAATTTTTTTAGAATCATCAAAGGATTATTTGGAAACAAAGAAACGTATCCTAGATCTACGAGCAAAATTTGGCGAGAATAATTGGTTGAGCAGTCACGCGGGAACTTTTGTCCAACACATTATGGGTCTTCAATCTGCTTCAGAAT